CCAGTCGTTGATCCAGTCGGGTTCTTACTATTCGGGAGATTGCAAGGAGACCATCAAGTTGAGACATAACCATGTGAGTAGTATTTTATTTGGGGGATACTATGGTACCCAATATAGAGTAAGATTGTATCCTCCTTTTGGGGTATAGTATTTTATATAAGGAATATTTTCTTACTAGGTTCAACGACCAAAAAACACTACTCATGTGCGTTCCAAGATGTTTGCGGCTTGCACTCCGAAAAGTCTCCTACCGCGTGCTCGATGTATGTTGGGTTTGCAAGGACACTGCTTGTGCTATGCCCAAAGTATTGTGAGTACCTATATCGCATACAGTCAGGTTTCTATACTATAGGAATCAGTAGTATGCTTTGGGTTAGTATCCCCTGCATGCGTAGATACTTAGGATTCTTGGGAATGATGTTCATTTCCAAAGCAGTGCAAAACGTGTTTTTCTTTTAATCTCACGGGTCCAAGCGATGTAAGACGTCAGATCCCTGACAATGCATAGAACACACGTCATGTTTCGAACGAGCTGGGATTTGCAGGTTGTGGCTTGGATCCTTTGAGTATGTTTTAGTCAGGCACACTCTGTTTGCAGAGCTACAAAAATGCTGATCTGCCGTCTAGCCACTGCCCAGGGAGCTCAAACTTCTGAACCAACCAATATGAATGCCATGATCGTATAGTCCCCCATAAGTAGATAGAATGTCGGGCATATGGAGATCTTATTATAATATACCCAAAGCCATATTCTATCTACTTAAGGGGAACTATAGGTCGCCTATCTGACGCACGGTGTTTTCCTGAATCACATAAAGCGTGTTGGGCTCACTGGGTAGAGGCTTCAAGATCATTGTGCCGAGGCTTTGCGAGGTTAGGGCGTTAAGTCAGAGTTCTTCATAATAGTCTCTTTGAATAGGATACCCCTGGTCTTGTGATTGGCTATGAATATACATATGCATGCATACACATACTTACCCTGACCATCCAAGACCTTGTATTTGATGGTCTTGGCAAAGTATCACCTTTTTGAGGACTTCAGTGAAAGACCATGATTAATATAGATTCTCATCAAACCGGCATTTTACGGATCAAGGCTATGTGCCTCTCACTCAATCAAACACATCCATTTTGCAGAGCGCTCTGGTCGAAATCTTGCAAATTCCTTTTCAAAATTAGCATCTTCCAGCAGAACGCCACTCATAAGCCTTTCATTCGGGAAATTATTGCTTCTTTGCGCCTACATAGGACAGGTTTCTAGGCTTGGGATGGTGGCCTGCGCCTTGCTGCGACCAGCTTCCTGGCACGCTTCAGCTCCAAAACTACTCGGGGGCGAAATCGTACTCGAGTGTACCATTTCACTAGCAGCATCTTCTCCAGGGTCTGCTGATGGCAAGTTTGAGCGATACCTTGTTAGGTTATTCACTGCAGGGCCAAGGGTTTCGCTTAGACGGCTTGTTTTTGAACATTTTCAAATTAAAAAATCAGACAAAGAAAGACAAGCAGCGCTTGCCGAACTTCATTGCAGCTTCATCTCGGAAACAGTGGTAGAATCTGCAGCTGTAAAGCTGCTCAGCCATGTCAATCCCAAGATGGTGAAAAACATGGTGCTTGGGCCGGATTTGCCAGGCTAACCTTTGATGCTCATGGTCTTAGAAGGTAGGTTAATGACACAACCCTGGTTTCTTTGTTTTGCTACATCTTTCTTATATTTCTTTGGGGAACCTTGGGGCAACCGGGGGAAGATAACCATTTTATTCTTGACCGAGAAGCTCACCAGCGTCAGCTGCCATCTTTGCAAGGCAGGCATACGTTCGGAGATGTAGCAGGGTGTCATCCAAGAGGGACTGGGCCTCCTGCAGGGGTTAATTAAGGTTAAGGGTATAGGGTTTGAGCCCACGGTTGCTAAAACACAGGGTTTACTTCAGTGATTTCTGCCGGGTGCTTCTCCTCTGATGTGAGATAGCGATCAGTTTTTTCCAACTTGCAGTACCACGAGTGCAGGGCCCACGCTGCTTGAGCAGCAAGAGTTAGGCGTTCGGTTCCATAATGTTCTGCAGCAGAAATGACTTCGGAAGCTAGCCAGGATGTGATGACGCGGCTGTTGTAGGCCTGCAAGGGCGAAGCTACTATGGAAGGTGGGTGCGAGGTTCAAGAATATTCGAGCTTAGGGCTGGGATTGGGTTATTACAGAGCAACAAAAAATGAAGAGGCTAAAGATTTTGGGCTTGAGGAATTCCAGGCAAAAGCTATGCCCGAGCCTTGCTTCGAAATGTGCAGGATTCATCACCGCTGGAAACATACATGTAAGGCTTGAACATCGGTTGGGAACAGCTGATGTTGTTCTTCCGGATGAAAGACTGGAATTTTCTGTAGGCATCTCTGTACCTTGCGGCCGCAGAATCGCCCCTGAACCAATTCACTTTCATCAGTTCATGGAAGCAGCCACCGTTACAAAAAAGTCCCACTCCTAACTGGGTACAATGCATCGAGCACCAACGAATCATGCCGTAATGGAACCCTTTGACATACATCAGGTTGCAACCCGCTTGGCTCATAATCTCAAGCAGAAATGTTCGATGACTCCTGACGGTTGCCTTCCACTTGGGCTCTCGGGTGAACTCTAACATGCTCACGCTTTCTTTGGACCGTGATGCTGCGCAAATATGACAAATATTGTTGGAGGTGAAGGCGGCTCCTACCAAACCCCAGACCTGTTGGTGGTGCTTCCAATCGCCCCGGACTTCTGTAAGGCGATACCGTAGCCCTGCATACAAGGCATGCCCAGCACTTGTCAAAACTTCGTTGTGGAATGAGAACTTTGGCATCTTCCCAGTGAACATGATATTCAGGCTCCAAGCCACAAAAGACCAAATTGGGGCCCATGACTTTTCACCCAGGGATCGATCAGTGCGGAGTGCGCACACAGGAAAACGGCTTCCGAACACAGTCTTTGACTCCAGAAGCGGGAAGCCTTACTTGGGTAGTGGAGGGCAAAGTAACTGCGGGCACAGGGGCGAATTACAAAAGTTATAGTCCCTCTTAGGTAGATACAATATGGGGTGTATGGGGATCTTATGATAATATACCCAACGCCATTTTCTATCTACTTAAGAGGGATCATAATTCAACACCAGGAAAAAGTGAGGATCATGAATAATGTTTACAGGGCTCTGAGGAAGAGGATGGTGATTTTCTCCTTCGTCACCGTATATTCAGCTTCATCTGCGTAAAGCCCTACTGGTTCACACAACTGTGCGAACTCAGGTTCCTGGAACTCGCTGCTGCTCATCCACTGGGGATGTTTCTGCTGCAAATGCTGCCAATACTTCAGGCGGCTGCTGAGATCGAATTGTAGCATCCCATTTTGCGTGAGCCACAATGCTAACATATGTGGGGCCACAACGCTGAGGTTGGCAGTTGTCTCCTCCAAACAGCTTGTGTCGTTCGGTTTTGCACGTACAGGGATGGTCACGTAGTCGAGCGGGATATCCTTCAGTAGTTGGGAGTCAGCGCTCACACAAATACGTAAAACAAGTTCTACTGAGCCTTGAACCCCAACCTCTGAACCCCTAAGCCCTAAACCCTGAACCCTAGATCCTAGACACCTAAACTCTTGAACCCCTAAACCCTGAATTCTGAAACCCTAATCAATAAACCATATTATAACTAACATTGGGAACCCACTCCCCCCCAGGCGTGAGATTTGCTTCCTCAAAACTAGAAATCTGATCAAATAAATAGGGCTCTGTATTGGGAACCCATCGCGCTAACCCACCCTGCCCTGTACCCTAAGCCCTTTCGCTGGCTAAGCTGCGGAATGGCTACAGCCAGCGCGTAGATCCCTCCAGATGTTTGCCTTCTGGGTGCCCGAAGCCCCCAACTCAGCCAACTCTCGAACTGATAGCGGGGTTTGTGACCCAAGCTCCTTAGCTTGAGATGGCGGGTTCCCGAAAGCTGCGTAATAACTTGTTATTAAGTTTCTGCAGTACGGATTGGGTTGAAACTTTGGGGGCCAGAGGCTCACATTAGGGGGCTCCAATCTCTACTTTCGGTGGGCTACTTTATCTCCTTGCTACCAAGAATCCGTCTGTATTGCTTGCGCCATGTCCTGAACAAACCAGGAGCTGATCTCCTTGGAAGCGCTGGCTACACTGATTCTCGAAAGAATTTATGGACACACACACACACACACGGTAGGCCGCTACTGCAGCAAAGGAGCCCCACTCCCCAGGGCAGCTAGCAAATGGTTTTTAATGGCACCAGGCACGCCTGCGTGGGACAGGCAGCGAGGTTTCTTTGCATAATAACAAATCCCTGAGACATACGCTAACTTGTTGTTGGTTACTGCTGCCGCCCAGTAACAGTCTATAATCATAATAAGGGTAGTATTCAGAGCTATCATAACCAACTGTTACTGGGTGGGGGCAGTATCCAATTTCAATATCTGAAGCACGTTTTGTGGAGACCCCGCCATTGAATACCACAGGTTCAGGTCACATGCCTGCACGCCTAAATGGAATCACTGCTCAGGCAGATGTACAATGCGCAGCTCTGACAGGGTAAGCTACCTACATATAGTTCCCCTTAAGTGGATACGATATGGCTTTGGGATTTTGGGTATATTGTAACAAGATCCCCATATACACCTTATTGTATCTACTTAAGGGGGGCTATAGCCACAACCAACTATGTAGCGTAGTTCTAATCTACCCCTCGGAGAGCTAGAATTTATAACACCAACGCTTTCCCCTGTCCACGCCGGAGCATTCGCACGAGAGCGACAGCTGCAGTGTCGGCTGCAAACACTTCTATCCTGTGACGCCTTGTACTTAATCTCCAATCACAGAAATCAGATAACATCAGCAAAATTTTGTGCCTATGATCATCACAGACAACCTCGGATCCTACTTGCTAGCTCCCTTAGCACTGGCTTTGGCTTTGCCTTTAGCCTTGGCTTTCGGGTTAGCATCTGCCGGCGATGGCAAGTTCTTGCGAACCGTCTTCATCTTGGCATCAAAGTTCTGCACTGCTTGGGTCAAGTCTGCACAAAGGCCCAGCTTCTTCTCATCTGAAGCACCTGTAGCAACGGCTTCCTTCAGGGCTGCGTAGGCCCCCTTCATAATGGCGACCTCCTTGACTGAATCCGCCACCAGGGCATCTGCGAATTCCTTCCCCCGTAGGTGATGGATGGAAAGCCAGGCTCTGGGAATATAAGTTTGGCAGAAAATTCTTCGACATAGCTAGCAGCTAGCTAGGTCTAATCACAGGCAAGAATCATTCCAGCAGTTGTGAGTTTCCCTCGCAAACCATCAGCCTCGGTTACCTTCACAAGCGCTGACTTGAGTAACCCCCATGCCTCTTGCGAGGCTGTCTTAGGCTTCGGGGCACGTCTTGGAGGGTCACCACCTGCTGGCCCAGGATGTCCGCCGCCGCTCCCGCTGCTGCTGGATGCTCCAAGGGCCAATCGCCTTGGTGGCAGCCACGCTCGGCCGCAGATTCATGTCTTGGTCTACATAGCGGAGTGGGGAAATACTAGCACAGTGGTGGGAGATCCAGCATTTAATGTTAGGGGGCACAAGTGGTAGAGGGGTTGTGCCTTGAAACTCTAGATCTCTGATTCAGGGGTGGTGTAAAGGTTTATATTAGGGTTCAGGGTTTGATTGGGGTTTCGGGTTGAGTTTAACCAGGCTTGTTGGCACGCTATGCATACTTATGCAACATTGCCCTGGGCAAATCTAAATCTTGTGGGATTATAGCATTCGAGGGAAATAGTACTAACTAGCATGTGGGGTTTGTAGCGTCAAGGAGGGAAACAGGTTCTCCAAGGTTCGGAGATTTGCTACATTGGCCTTTTAACAATTCCCTTATCCCCGCAAGTCTTCCCCAGCTAGGCTCACTCAGTTTTGCACATCTCAGGCTAGTGCGCCCTAAAGCCGCAAAACCAAATGGCCCAAAACAATACCCCCTCCCTCCCTGCAAGATCTAAAGCCTGGCTCCTAAACCCTATATATTTTTCTATCCATAACAATGGCCCCTATACACACATTATATTAGTTGATACGGATCGTAGCGAAGAAGATATTATATTATTCAAATCTTTAATTAAAGGCTGTACGTACATGGAGTATAGGACCCATAACTGTCGGGCCTAGCTCGTCTGAGTGACATGGCCGTTGCGGCAGCGCTGCCGCTTATCCCCACCTCTGCTGTCATGTCAAACTCGGTCTCGCTTTCGCTGTCCTGCGTCTCGATCTTGCTGTCGAAGCACTTCAGGAGGATCCAGCCCTGCTTGCAGTGCGATTGCCCCAACATACACTAATATTGCAGCTGAAGCTCCTGATATTCTATTAATTTCTGGACCCTGGCTGCACCTTATTCTCCGGCTGGTCCGGGTGTTTCTGGACCCACTTTCCCGACCAATTCGGGTCTAGCTTGCACTTTTCATCCATGATGTTCTGCGCAATGCCTTCGCCGTGCCTGACCATGAACAGCCAAACACATTCTTGCGTGGGCTGGGGTCTTCTTGGTAAGAACTAGCATGTATAGTACGCAGGGTTTAGGGCTTTAGGGTTTTCAGGTTTAGGGGATGGTGGGTAGACAAACCTTGTAATTAGATAGTAGCCAAGCAACTCTGTGACCAAGAGCTCAAACTTTTTCCAGACGTGTTGCCCATGACGCGTCCCCTTCTTTCGAGACCGGATATTCATCATGATGGCAGTCTGTTGCCAGTCTTCCCCTGCGGTAACGAACTGCTCAAAGAGATGTCTCATGATACCGGTGCCACCTTAGATGGCGGCGTCATCATATATATATATATAGCTATAGGCATTTTACTGCGGAGCTTCGAATGGTTCAGTTGGGGTGCGGGACTTGCCTGAGGCGGAGTCGAGAGCCTTGTCTGCCACTTCCTTCGGGCACTGCGCCGAGCCTTGGGCGCATAAGAATCTGAGAAGGAGGAGTTGAGGGTTCAGGGTAATTAAGGTTATTATTAATATTAGGGTTTAAGGTGTAGGGTTTCCAGGTGCTGCCCAATGGGCTTTGTTCAGCTTAGCTAATGCGGTTAGGGAGCGGATGGATCTGTAAAACCTCATGTACGCATTGTGGCCCTCGCGGCGGATGCGGTCCTCTTCACTTTCCTCATCTTTGCGCTTCTTGCCGCGCTGGTTCGGGGCAGACGTTTCGTGGTCAGGCACGCCAGTTGCGGGGCTCGGGGCTGCTGCGGGTGGGTGAGTTGCGTCCTGTGTGTCCTTTGCTGTGCTGCTGTTCTCGACTTGGTTTGAGGCTGCTGCAGGTGGGCCCGTTGCGTCCTGTGTGTGCTTTGCTGCGTCACTGCTTTCGACTTGGTGCGGGGCTGCTGCGGGTGGGCCAGCTGCGTCAGACTTGTGCTCTGCTGCGTTGAGCCTCTCGACTTGGTTTGGGACTACGGGCGGGCCTGCTTCTGGCCTTGCGGCATGAATGCTCTCAACTTGGGTCGGGCCTGCAGGTGTCAGGTGTGGCGCTGGCGTCTCTGTTTGCGAGCCTAGCTCTTTGGCCTTGTTCATAACCTCATTGATGTCGATTGTGCCAGGACGGCGCAGCATAGTCTGAATCAAGTGGCCGAGGCTTTCCAGTTGATCCTTCCTGCAATCGGGCTGGGTCGTGGAAGCTTCTCCGGCAGGCTCCGCTTCTGGCTGGGGGACCTCTGCGGGGCCTGGCTCCTGGGCTGGGGGAACGAAAGGGACCACAGCTTGTTCGCGATCCAGCTGGAAAGAAATCAATTTCTCAAGATCCTGCTCTATGTCGTTCTTGGGATTTGGGGCCCCGGCTCCTGTGGGCACAGGAGGCTTCGAGGTGTTGCTCGTTTGCACCTTGAGATCAGCGCTGGCCGTTGAGCCTGCAGCGTGTGCTGTTACATGAACGTGCGTTTCAACCTTGGCTGGCGAGCCCATATTTACACTGGCCTGGGCGTGGACACTGGCTGTTGGCGTTACTGTGGCGGGCGGCGCTGGCTTGGCCTCCATGCTCTTAGCCAAGCAGCTCAGGCTGCAGTAGGTCAGCGTTCCCTGCACTCAAAAATCAATTGCACTAATTCTACAACGACACGCTCCATAATCGCTACAGATCTTGTAAACGTAACATAAACGCGTGGAACATGAAGCCCGAAACCTTCATGAGTTATAACATTGTAGCCCTGAAGCCCACCCTAGGTTGGTAAATTCCCTAAGGCCCTAAGCCCTCTTCCCTGGACCCTTTGCCATCCCCAAGTCCTCCCGAAATCCCGAGGTTGTTGAAGCCCTGATTATGGCATCTGGCCGGCAAACAAGTCTTGGGGATAAGAAGTCGGGCTTCGAAGGGTATAGGATAAAATTGTTTCTGATATTTCGCTGTCCTATGTACTAACAATACAAACAACATTTCTCCCCCCCAACCTTAATCAACACTTCCTTCGCCGAGCAGATCTTCATGCACTCCTGGCAGAAGTCCTGGGATCATTTGGCACTCTCCTAAACCCGTAACCCTAAACCCTAAATTCTTAATTCGTGGTTGATAGGAGTTGTTTCGCGAATTCTTGGGTTCAATTAAGGTTTGGTTGGGACACCGTCGGCACACAGTACAGCGACTGTTGCCCAAATTGCAAATTAATACATATCTATATAAAACTAAATCTAGAGGGTGCGGGGTTTAGGGTCTGGGGATTGGCCCAAGGCAGATCTATTCCTTCTTAAGTAGATAGAACATGGCTTTAAGGATATGTTATAAGATCCCCATATACCAAAGGGGACTACAATCATCCATAGGCGATGCCCATAAAATCTACATGTGTATATATATATATATATACCTATGCCTATAATCAATGTGCAGGGTGCAGGGTTTATAGGGTTTGGGGACATAGAGCGCACACAGTATCTGTGGTTTAGGGCTAGCATTTGTGGGGAAGCTCGGATCCAGGTGGGCTTCTGGATTCTAAACCCTAAAAATGCCAGTGCCAATACCCCTTAATTACCCCCAGGACCCCGCGCCTGGGAGGAGCCCAGAAAACCTGATCAATTGCTTCCATTTTCAACCCTACGGCTACAAGTTTAAGCGCACTCTATATATATATATATATTGGTTTATAAGCCCGAAATTAGGGGATCATCCTTGATTCGGTACCTGACCACACTGGCCAAGGGACTGGGTCTGGCTGCGTCGGCGGAGGCTCCTGCTGCGAGTCACCTGGAAAAATTCGTTTGTGTTGAGGGTTGCTGTGGTTAGATTTACATTTGAATTTGCGTGCTTCTGCAACAACTTGTATACATGCGCTCTAGCAACCTGCCTCCCCCCAGCTCCAGTTGGGACATCATGTCATTGAGACTGACTGTTGTCATGCTGTCCACATGCCGATAGCTTGCACTGTCTGGTGCAACCGGAGCTTCCTCCTCAAAAGTAAGCTTGCTGCGCAAGCTGTCGTCTGAAAGGCCCTTCATTCTCTTGTAGTCAGGGGAGATAATCGGGGTTCCAGTCTTGGCACTCATAGGCGGGGCTGGTGTGTCCTTCGAGACAGACATTGGGCAGGGGGAGTCCCCTTCATCACGCGTCTTTGCTGGGGTTGGGGTGCTAGCTGCAGCAGTCTCACTTGTGCGTGGGGCTGGCGTCCCTGGCACCGCAGGGGTCGGCTTCTTTGAGCGCACAGGCGTGGCAACCGGTAGCGCATTGCTTGCCTTGGGGGCTGGGGAGCTGGCCCTCCCATGCTGTTGTCTAATTGCGTCCACTAAACTCTGCGTTTTAGCAGACACTGGCACAGGAACCTCCGTTTTCTTCTCGCCTTTTTTGCCCATGGCTCACAATGAAGAAGCAAGTAGACACAAGGAAGTTTGATCGATCACAACGCTGCCAGATGAAAAACATTTCGAGGAGGGCGCACATACCATCTTCTCAGACCAACACTGACATTATGATTTCTCGCAGACACATCTCAGGATTATGGCGATTACGCAGTCTACGAGGATCAGAGACTTGGATCCACTCGTAAATTGGTGGGTGTTCAACAGGTCAACCCAGAGGCAGTTCTGGAAATAACGCTGTTTAACGCTGTTTAACGCTTTTTAACGCGAGACCTCAAAATACAAGGTTTTTCGTCCTATTTTTAACGCTATTTAACGCGGTTTAACGCGGTTTAA